ACTCACACGATGCGCAAAACTCCGCATTTGAACAGTCAATAGCAAATACTTAAACTAATAACAAAACTGTAGCTGATTCAGAAGCGCCAGATTGTCATAGCATAGTCAGAATTACCTCCTCTCCTAGGTTCATGAAACGGTCGTCCATAAAATGCATTGCTGTTCTGTTGAAAGATTCCTAATTGCATCTACTTTCGGAAGGCCAAATATAGTGCTTTTGCTTTCGCCTAGAAACACACTAACTGCGGTTACTGAAACCATGCCTTCTTTGTTTGCGTGCACATTTGGGTGGCATTATGCTAATATTTCCACATAGTGATGTAGATATGTGGGGGCGTGTTAGAACGAGCCGTTTTAGGGGGGCGTGGCAGAGTCTTAACTTTGATAAAGAATATCTCTTTGGTTTTGAGACTTTAGTCTTTGCAATTTCAGGGATCTTATCTATGCACAATCAGCTTGTAACACTCCAAAGAGAAAGGAAAGCTTGAAATCGCATCATATGACCCCTTTAAAATTGTGTCCCAATGTCACAGGTGACAGGAAGCACTTTGAAGGTTGAAAATGAAATGTAATTTACCTGTGCCAGAGCCTCTGCTGAGGAGAAAGTTCAAAAACAACCTGCCAAAGAGTTTTAAAATATGTTATGACACCACTTTAGCAAGTTATTAGCAAATAAGTAACATTCAGTTACTCACAGGTTCATACTGCAGGCCATCAGATGCCACCATCGTCTCGGCTAGATCCAACACATCTGCTCCAACAACTGAAAATAAAGAAATACACAAGATTATTTGATGATTTTATGCTTTAAGTCATACAACATATTATTATAGTAAGATATACTTACATTGGCACCTCATGGCAACTGTGATATCAATATTAATTCGTAGTTTGCTACAAGATGAAAGAATAAAAACAAAATGTTAGTACATCAAATCATGTTATATATAACAACAAAATACAATTTACTGTTACATTATGATAGCAGTAAAGAGTCACCTAGTAAAATCCTTATCCACTTCATACTCGTACTTCATCCATGTGTCTCGATACACAAAGAACTCAAAGAAGGCCAAGAGTGCCATGGCCGTGAAGGCCAACACAGACACTGAGGAAGAAATAATTTGGGTTATAATTTGTTTTATGGTTTCTTAATTCAGTATCACAGCTGTAATATTTGAGAAGAGACCGAAAGGAAAATGTTAAGTATTATCTATAGATAGGATATGTACAGTCAAACCAAAAATTATTCAGACACCAGATATTATTTTATTTTTATTTACTAGTGGGTGCAGCCAGGACACTATAGTTCATTTATGTAAGTGAGGATAGCAAAATAAAGTGAACTGTGACATATTATAGCCAAAAATTCTTCATTAAGTGGACTACCAGTAAAATTGATAAAAATTTGGGATCAAAAATTATTCAGACACTTTGAGCTGACCATGTTTTGCTTAAGTGTTTTTTTCTTTAATTGCTAATGCGAACTTTCTACACCACAGACTGAACAAAAGTAAGCATTGCTTGGTAATTGGTTGTCCTAAATTGGCATTATCTAATTGCGTACTTAAATTTAACAGCTGACAGCTATTCAATCTAATTCATTACATACCTTTCTATCAGTTATCTGACATTATCAAGATGAATTTGTTTTGACACAGTTTAACTCTGAGTTCTTGTCATATTTTATCACCATTTTCTAAACTATAGCAAATAAACTGTGATAATGTGAGAAATGTTGAAGGTATCTGAATAAATTTCAGTTTGTCTGTATGTGTGTGTGTGCGTGCGTGTGTATAAATGTATTCATAAAATAACACTGACTGAAATAAATTAAAATATATATCCGAAAACATTTTTTTAGTTAGTTGCCAATAAAAAAAATAAAAATAAAAATTTACTAAAATAACTAAAACAGGTTAATTTTTTTTAAACTATACATATATCAAAAAATATATACAAATGACAAAAACACAACAAAGTTACTAAAACTTGAACTGAAATATGTGGAAAATATGAAATAGAATATAAAAATATTAATAATCTATCTATCAAATCTCTGCTCATCTCACCAGTTCCTCCACTGGCTGTTGTCTCCACATAACTCTCAGGAACCTTGGGGAAAGCATCCAACTCCTTCACAAAGTTCAGGGCTTTCTTTTTGTTCAGCCTCCTCATCGTCACAGCAGTTGGCTGTTATCTTCCTCAGGAATTTAGGCTGCGATTCATCATTTGTTTGTCAATTGGTATATCAAGAGGCGTTGCACATTAATATACATTTAGTTCAACTTTCTGTTATTAGCCCAGGGCTAAATATGCGAAAGGTTTAACCACATATAAGTTAGGACGTAGACCAATTTTGATTTTAAACAGCTTTTAAAGAGTATTTTTTAACAGTTTGTCTGTGAAGGTTCAGGTATCTCACAGTTGTCTATGGTTACTGTTAGCCACTGCTAGCCGTGCACTTGTCTGGCTTGCCATTTTACTTACTTCGTTTTCTACCTACCTTGAAATGCTATTTTAAACGGCACATTGTAGTTTCTGCAATTTTCAAATGTATACTCTCCTTTTGCAATGAACGTTTAATGAAGGAAATAACGGACAGAAATGTAGAGGACTCAGAAGAGAAGGACGCTGATGTGTAGAGTCGCACGCTTCCGGTCTGGTGGATTATGGGATATGTAGTCAACAAAAATATGGGAAAAATGAAAAGCTACTAGCTTACTACGACTCGTACTATTTCTGTCATTTCTTTACGTTTTAGAAACAGTGAAAGTTTAGAGCACAAAATAATCCAAATCCAAGCAAACAGAGTTTAATTAAAAGACTCACATTGTGCACTGTGAGAAAGCTTTTATTTGATGACATACTTTTCTGAATCTAGAAATAATACTAAATAATGTGGTTTTGAACATGAAAATGCCACAACACAAGGTAAACATGTCTGTTTTTAAATGTATCTTTAAAACTTTTCTTTTAATCTGCAAAAAGTAAGCTAGTTTGCATTATTTTTCTAAATTAAAATAACATTTAACAACAGTAGCATTAAAACCATTTTTGCATAGTAAACCTTAAGCTGTAAGCTTGCATCGCCCCACTGTTAAGTGGCATCTGTATGTAGTAAATACAATATTATACAAATGAATCTAAATGTCAGCTGAATCCGGCCCCTCGTCCCGTAACACTGGCTGTTCATGGCTGTCAGAGGTCGGTGTGCCGGTGTTCTCTTGAGAGGGGTCTTCAGAACAGCAGCTAATGGTGGGTGATATCACATCAGGGCTTGTGTCACATGACTCCGTGCTCTGTTCGGACGTTGCAGTGGTAGTGATGGTGGTGGCCACGCTGGGAGGAATGGGGTCAAAGTCATCATCATCATCATCATCATCCTCCTCCTCCAGGTTGGAACATTCATTGATGTCTGTTACAAAGGAAGACACTATAATTTATATTATACCCGACCATTCAGAAGTGTCACATGATCATTCTAGAACGCTGATTGGCTGCTTAACAAATATTTCTTACTAATATCAAATCAATGTTGAAAACAGTTGTGCTGCTTAATATTTTTGTGGAAACTGTGATACATTTTCCAGGAGTCTTTGATGAATAGAAAGTTCAAAAGAACAGCATTTATTTGAAATCGAAATCTTCTGTAACATTATTAATGTCCTTATTGTCACTTTTTAATGCATCCTTGCTGAATAAGTATGAATGAAGTTTTAATTTATAAAAATCTTACTGACCCCCAAACTTTTGAACTGTAGTGTATATTAGTGTTTTTTTAATATTGGTAAATATTGGAATTTTAAATTGTGGATGCTCATTTTTTGTTTTTAGGTTATTTGTATAATCATTTAGCAGAAACTACAAAGAGGATAATGCTAGATTATTTTTTTAAAACTTAAGATTGACCAATTTTGTGGTTAGTCTTTCCTAGATGTCACAATATAACGTGTACAAAAACTACTGATTTTCATTTTTGCTAACAGTAGCTTAATCGTAGTGCATGCTAATACAAAATACAGCATTATAACTTACTGCAGAAGGCCTCTGGATATTGTTTTGCAACCTTGCCTTTTAAAGTCCTGTGGAAACACAAATGATCTTATGCATAGGAAATAACTAATGTTACACAATATATTGTATTATTAGGCTTGATAATATATATTATTTAATATAATAATTACTTTAGTATGAAAAATATAAAAATAATATTTTGTGACATTGTTTGTTTTGTGACATTTTCAAACTTGCATGACAAACCAGCTGGAATGTGTTCATTTTATCATACACATGCTTGTAATGGAGGGAGACATGTTCATGTCAGATCTTAGGTCTCCCTCCTCATCATAATTAATGTCTTAAGTTGTGAATATAATACCTTATTCGTCTGAAAATGCTGTCCAAGTCTTTCTTCATCTCTATTAAAGTGCGGGTGTGCATTAGAAAGTGTTCATTCATCTGTTGTAAGCGCACATTGGACAGTCCGTTGAAGTTGATCAGCATCTCATTGGTCTTCTCAAACCGGTCCAGCCTGGAATACATGAATACATGCAGCAAAATCAGCTTGAAAGCATAATAAATAACGTTATGCTGCCTAGGCAGGTCACTAGATAGGGAAACCCACATGTGTCTCTGAGCTTGAATGATGGCGTTCACGTCTTCAGAGTTCACCATACTGAGCATTCTGTTACAGAATATCCCCGATGCTGTGGGCTCCATGATGACGCTTTTTATAAAACACAAGAAGCGTTAATAATAATTCAAATCAACAACGAACTGTTAGATACAAGTATAGCCTAGTCGCTTACGTGGTAAGATATTCACGGACTAGTTTGCGTCTTGCTTGGTTTTATTTTAAGAACGTCTTCATCAGATGCAGAAGCTTTGACGCAAATGTTATATTTGTGAAACGATAAAAAAAAAATTACCGCACCGAAAAGCAGGCAGACATTTTTGTTGTGATGTTGTCATATGATCACGTGAGAGTGGCGTAATTCGGGAGGCGGGATCACGGAGATTTTGTAAGCGTTGATTGGCTCTCCAGAAAAACTGGTGTGATTAATTTTTAATAATGATTAATTTTATTTTAGATTTAATATTAACGAATAAATAATAATGAACCTAATAATGAATAACGCATGAATGATTTTCAACATTTTTAAACATAACATTTTTAATGCTAGATTGCCTAGATACGTAATTAATTTTGGTCCCACTTTATATTAAGTGGCCTTAACTACTATGTACTTACATCAAAAAATAAGTACAATGTACTTATTGTGTTCATATTGTATTGCAAAACACATTTGCTGCTATTGAGGTGGGATACGGGTAAGGTTAGGGACAGGTTTGGTGGTATGGGTAGGTTTAAGGGTGGGTTAAGGTGTAAGGGATGGGTCAACAGTGTAATTATAAATGTAATTACAGAAATTAATTACAGATGTAATTACATGCAGGTATTTTAAAAATATAAGTACAATGTAAAAACATGTATGTACACAATAAGTGCATTGTACCAAATGATTAATTTAAATGTAGGTACATAGTTGTTAAGGCCACTTAATATAAAGTGGGTCCTTAATTTTTTTACATAAAACAACGCATGCATTTTTAAAAATCGTTCTATAATGACAAATATATTAGATATGTGTCACATGAGGATACATAGTTCATATACTGTATATTTTGGCGCTTTTCCACTGCATGGTACGGCACGGTACGGCTCGGTACGGTTCTCTTTTGGGGGGTTTTCCACTGGGTACAGTACCTGGTACCTGGTACTTTTTTTAGTACCACCTCGGTTGGGGTTCCAAGCGTACCGAGCCGTGCCGTACCGTACTGAGCCGTACCGTGCCGAGTCGTACCACGCAGTGGAAAAGCGCCATTAGATGCACATATTATGTATTTTTATATATATTTCATATTAAATTATAATTATAACTTTTATATTAATATTTATTAATATAATTATATAATTATTATATTAATAATTAACATTTTATTTTAAATAATTATTGATAATGACTATTTCAGGTAAAATAATGTGTCACATGAAGAGGATAAATAGTTTTGAAATGTAATATAAAAATAATTTTTATGGCACCACAATAAAGCACACTGCAATATCACTTCAAATCAAATCTCTGGCTCGAGGGGCCGGCTGTGTCAAGTCCAGTTTCACCTTTGTTCAAACAAACACTGTGCTGGCGCTGGTTGTCTAGGCTCAGACAGCCCAGAAGGCATCTCAGGTTCTGTTGGAGCTTGTGGGAAATGTCACGGTGAATGGGCTTTGCATGATTTGTTTCTACCAGACATGTGCAGGTTCCTCTTCTGCTTTTGACCTTAACCGATAACACTAACTTCTCATAATGTCACACACAACTGACGAAAAGATGGTTGGTTTCTGATTCAAAGGCCTATCTGAGAATATGAGAACACCCCTGCACCAATTCCCACCCCCAGTGTGTTTATTGTGTTACAATGCTATTCAATATGGGGTGCTGTGTGTACATTAATGAGGAAAAAAAATTAACTTAAATGATTTTAGCAAATGGCTGCAATATAACAAAGAGTGAAAAATTTAAGGGGGTCTGAATACTTTCCGTACCCACTGTATATATATATATGCAGATTAAAAGTGTATTTCCATTAAAAAATGTAAACAAAAGCTCCTGGTAGTGAATATTGGATAATTTAATAATGCTATTATTTACTTGTACATTATAAATGTTATTATTAAAACAATAAATTAATAATTTAATAAATAAATAAATTATAAATAAATTATAATAAATATGATTTAATAATAAATGAATATTAAATCGATACCATATTGCAGTTATTGATTGCAATTAATAATATTGTAATTATATAAAATTATAAAATAATAAAAATTTCATAATTACACATTATAAAAAATATTAATTAAAATATAAAAATATGCATTAATATTTGCTTAATTTAAGATTTTTAATTTTACACCTCTGCCTGCAACTCAATGTACTTCCGCGGTAATCCAGTAAGTGGCAGTAAACAGATTCAAAACTGATACTCGCTCAGTGAATCATAATAGAAGAAGCCTTTCACGCATTCGAGCTCTTCAGAAGAGTTAATTAAAAATATATCTCAGTATACCAGTTATTTGTGTTATTTAACGGATTTACTCTTGATAAGAGGTGAGGAACTCATTTTACAAGTTTTATGTGACCGACGACGAAAAAAGTAGGTTAAAAAGCCGTTGCGTCCTGTACATCGAGCTGGCTACCATTAGCATCTTCCCATCTAACGTTCAATACTCGATTTATCTCGCCGTAATTTTCCACATATTAATGTTTTCCCTCACAAATAACTTTTTAAAGTTATGTTTCAATATAAAAGTGTCATAAAGAAATGTTTTATCTCATTTCAGCTGGTCAGAATGGCAGCAGACTGGATTGGCTGTCTTGTTTCTATCCACTGTGGACCAACTTTAGGAGTGTATCAAGGAGAAGTATCTTCAGTAGATCAGACCAGCCAGACCATCTCTCTCAGACATCCCTTCCACAATGGAGTCAAGTGCACTGTGCCTGAGGTCACCTTTAGGTAAATAATAAATTGAAGATCCTAAAAGGTTCACTGTTTATCATTGTGGTGTCTGTTTTTGATCCTTTATGAATGATTTTAAGACAGACCATTTCGTCTCATTGGTCATATTCTACATTGTTGTTGTATAAAGTCCACTTATGTACTCTAAAGTCAAAATATTATCTTGTTAAACAGTTTTGATGCAACGATATAATACAGCATACTCAGAATTTTGAGACCAAATACTATTGTTTACTATACTATAACAATCTTCTTTTCTAATACACAGTGCCATGGACATTAAAGATCTCAAAATCCTGGAGATCCGTAAGAGCTCCACTGAAGTCCCAAAGCAGAATGGTCCAGACACCAACTCCACATTGACTCCGTATGGCGGACGCAAGGATAAGGGTGGTGGTGGCGCCCCGGTCAATAGCACTCCTGTGATGGTACCTAATAAAACTGAACCCAAAACACAGGAAGGAGGGGTGTCTCCGGTGCCACACTACTCAAAAAGTTACGGTGAACGCCACATGGACATGGCTGTCCAAAGTAAAGGCTTTAGACGAAGACACAACTCCTGTGAGTCTTCTGTGTCACTGGATATTGAACCTAATCTTTCAGATTATAACTTTTATATATACAGCGGGTAACATAAGTATTGAACACGTCACCATTTTTCTCAGTAAATATATCTCTAAAGTTGCTGTTGACATGAAATTTTCACCAGATGTCAGTAACAACCCAAGTAATCCATCCATACAAAGAAAACAAAACAAATAAGTTCAAGAAATTAAGTTCTGTGTAATAAAGTAGAATGACACAGGGAGAAAGTATTGAACACATGAAGAAAGGGAGGTGCAAAAAGGCATGGAAAGCCAAGACACCAGCTGAACTCTATCAGTAATTAGAAAGCTCTCTAGTCAGTGGAAATTAATATTAGCTGGTTTAGTCCCAACACCTACAGTACCAGGATGATCAAGATGAAACAAGGCTGGACATTTCAGCAAGACAAAGATCCCAAACACAGCCAAGGAAACTCTCAGTTGGTTTCAGAGAAAGAAAATAAAGCTGCTAGAATGGCCCAGCCAATCACCTGACTTGAATCCAATAGAAAATACGAACTTAAGATCAGAGTTCATTGAAGAGGCCCACAGAACCTTCAAGATTTGAAGACTGTTTGTGTGGAAGAATGAGCCAAAATCACACCTGAGCAATGCATACGACTAGTTTCTCCATACAGGAGGCGTCTTGAAGCTGTCATTAACAACAAAGGCTTTTGTACAAAGTATTAAATACATTTCAGTAAGCGTGTTCAATACTTTTTCCCTGTGCCATTCCATTTTATTACACATAAATTAATTTCTGAACTTATTTGTATTGTTTTCTTGTATGTATGGATTACTTGGTTTGTTAACGACATCTGGTGAAAAATTCATGTCAATAGCACCTTTAGAAATATATTTACTGGCAAAAATGGTGATATGTTCAATACTTATTTTACCCACTGTATATTTTCTATATATATTATTATTTAGGTGTATTTGGGAAATTGCGATTTAAAATGCAATTACAAAAAAATTTAAAAGGTTTGCTGTGCTTGTTTGTAGAGTTCCGCAATTTGGCTCAAATGTGGTTATTAAATATCAATTTGATTACTTATTAATAATACTTAAAATAATAACAATGCTTATTATTTTTATTATTACTTTATAAAAATATAAAAAAAATTAAATGTTACTCTTAAAACAATCCACTGTAAAAAAAAAAAAAAAAAAGGTTTTTAATTAAAATAAAATCATTTCATTTTACATGGTTTAGTTAAATAAATGCTTTATTGGTTTTGATGACAAACCATCAAAGAAACGCATACATATTAATATTAATTAATAAAAAAAAAATTACATTTAAATTAATTTGTTTTACAGTGTTTAGTTTTAAAGTAGTATTACAATCTTATTTTGTGTAATGTTTCTGTTTCATAAAACTCACAATAAAATCAGGATTATTATTTTATAGTCATGTTACATTGGATAAAAACAGCAGGAATGTGGTCTATGAAAAGTGCAAAGAGATTTTATTAACTAATGCCCTTTTTAACTGTTTGTAGGGTCGTCTAGTTGCAGAGGTCCAAATCAGGCCACACCCAAAAAGAATGGGTTGAAGAACGGAGGTCATATGAAGAACAAAGACGACGAATGTTTTGGAGACGGTATGGACGATGTTCCCGATGAGGACTTTGATTTTGAGGGGAACCTGGCGCTGTTCGACAAGGCTGCGGTGTTCTCGCAGATCGATTCGTCAGAACGCCGAGGCAATGGCGCGAGATCTCGAGGAACGCCTGGAGAGCAAACGCCATCACGATACCGGCATGACGAGAACATTTTAGAGGCCAAACCCGTCGTCTACAGAC